TCTGGTAGATCGGTCAAATATGACCAATATGTCATATTTGTCAGATTTGTCCAATTTGTCATATCGGTCAGATCGGTTAATCAATTCAAATCACATGATTGGCTATAGTTAATTGGCGTAGCATGGATCACGCCTTCAGCATATAGATCACATCAACCAGGTGACTTTGATACCCAGAACGTTAAATAACTCAGGAATCGAATCTGACCTCTAATCCTAGTAACAGCTTGATTTGGACCAGTACTGTAGCGTGCAATGCAGTCTAATTATTACTGCTTTGTTACCTAATCTACTAATGTTTGGTCAATTACTTCCTTATTTTATACATGTAATCACTTCGATAGCAACCACATACGGAAATATAGGGTACCTGCTGTGATAGACGTAAGACTGTATCCTTTACAGACCAATCAGCGAAGGCCAAATTTCTGTCGATTTTAGGCTTCATTTGCATCTACTTATTCTAACACGTGCAGTATTTAGGTATGATCAACATTAATCGATGGATCAATTAACCAAATTTGTACGCATATTAGTTTATATGCCCATCATTTCAGTTACAAAGAAATTTCTTATGAAAAATCATACAATTTTATGTATCGGCTGATACCTGAACTGATGGCCTATCACTGTGTAATGAAACTTTAGCTTATAGGAGACTCACAGTTTAACCACTGAGCCAGAGCTACCACACCCTCTCTAACAGATCACTGGATGCTGAGATATTTAAGAAAAAGTGTTAAAAACATTCATTTTTCGGCTTTATAAGCAGCCGAAATTCCAGGATTTTACCACCAACGTGGGTCACACAAATGCTATATATGTGATCAATATGACCAAAAAAGAAAATTTTTGGCTATCGCAAAATAGCAAGGATCCCTAAAATAGTGACACAAAATTCCCGATTTGGTAATTTGCATAACACAAAACACCGAAAAGGCGATTTGTGTAACGTCACACATGCCTCACTTCTTGAGGCAGCGTGACTCTTGTTTTATAGTGAATGAGATTATAAAAATTTGATAAAATATTACCAATCGGAATAACTCGATTAATCTGATTAGAAATTAGATATTAATAAATTGATATCAATAAGAGTAGCCCTATTGATATCTTTATAATATCCTGATTGGAACCTTATTGTATCTTATCTGTGCTATTATTCATCATCAATCGGGATCATCTGATTCTAAAAAAATAAAAAAATAGGGTATCAATCAGGTCAAATTTGATAATCCAGATTTGATCCAATTAGTCACCTATTTGTCATCGTTCGACTAGTGCTATTATTTCAATTATTAAATGATCAGTCATTTCAATAATTTTTAAATATAGCATATTTTATAAATTTTTATTATTTATTTGTTTATTATAGTAGTAAATTATTAAAATATTTAATTATATGTATTAAAAAGAATATTTCTTATCGAATACTACATGTTTCGGACACTTATCATTTAATCAAAATATTTATTATATCACGTGTTTAATTTTGTTAAATTTGGCGTTTGATTTTTTAATAAAATAGACTCATGTGATTCATATCGTAAAATTGCATTTTCTGATGTAAATTGAATCTTTTGCTTTCTCTCTTTATTTTTCTTTACCAAAATATTTCTTCCACTTGTTATAAAGATTTTGTAACAAATTTCTTTCGCCATTTTGTATTTCATTCATTATGTCAGCATATCATACATACCTACAATCAAATCTGGTAAGTTTTACTTGATTTATTACATTGTATAATATCAATAGCATCATTTTTTTTTCTTACTAGAATCTAATAAGTTTAACAATGTCAAATAATAAAAAGGATACTATTGATACTATTTTTGATGGTTTGACTAACTATCAGTTTGCAAGATCATTCAATCTTGATGTTGATGATGTTGAATTTCATGGTTCTGATGAAAATCTTGAATCAAATGTCACCCTCAAACCCGATGCTCCTCATTTATTAACATCTACTATACCTTTTGAAAGTAGTGATATTGCTTCCTTTAATGACAATATTGATAGCTCTCTTAATTACTTACCTTTAGATGAATATGAACAAGAAAATCAGGAAAATAAAAATGAAAATAGGAATCATGAGTCATCATTAGAATTGAAGTTTGGCCTTTTGTTTTCAAACTTGCAATCTTTTAAAATTTGGATCAATTAATTTGCAAAATCAAAAGGATTCAGTTACAAAATTTGGACTAGTGATATAAATGATGGTGTAGTTAGAAGAGCAACATATGTATGTACTAAATCTGATACACACAATTCAAAGATAACATCCAATCCTATTAAACGTTATATAGCTACATCTCAACGAATTGAATGTCTTTAGAAATTGAATGTTACCTATCCCAAAACAATGTCAATAGTAAAAATTAATTCTTTTATTGATACTCATAATCATTCACTTACCTCTATGATTGGTGAAATCAGAACACAATTCGGAAATTAATGCCTAAAATGTTAGCAAACATTGAAAAGTATGTTATTCAAGGTAGATTGGATTTAGGATCGATCTATCCATTACTCCAACATGATTACCCTGATCATCCTTTATACAGACGTGATTTGTATAATGCTGTTTATAATCTTCAACCCAGGTGATTCAGATGCTTCTTTAATACTACAAACATTATTAAAATGGAAGGATAAGAATCTATTATAGATTGTTAAACTACGGTTGGAAAGTATATCAAGAAAATTAAATTCTTTAATTTGAATGTCACCAGAACAAAGAGCTCTTTATGAAACATTTCATAATATTATAATAATGGATACTACAGCAAATACCAATCGTTTTCAAATGATGCTCTGTATTATTACTATAATAGATAACAATTATAAAACAAGAATTATTGCTAGTGGTATTATAGAAGATGAAACTTTAGATACTTTTAGATGGATATATGAAACATTACTTGAAGAAACTAGTATCATACCTAAAATTATATTTACTGATAGTGATCCTGCTATGATAAGTGCAATTAAACAAGTTTATCCTACTAAACATATGCTATGTATATTTCATATAAATTTGAATTTAAGAAAAAAGTTGAAAGGCAAATTGGGTTCTCAGTTTGAATTATTTCGTTCTGACTTTTATACATGTCGGAATAGTTTATGTGAAGAATTATTTAAAAGTCATTGTAAAACTAGTAGCTAAATATTCAACAGCTGAAAAATATCTAATAGAAACTCTTTACAATAATAAAGAATCATGGGCAGTTCCTTAGTTATATAATCAATTTACAGGCATTGTACAAAGTACACAAAGAATTGAATCTATTAATATGCATATATACCAAAAAGTTAATCGTGCAACCTCTTTATATGATTTATTAATCAATATTAAAGATCATGTTAATCATGAAAAACATTTGATGAAATTTGAGATTTAACGCAATGCTCTTCCGTCTGTTGGATTACTAATGACAAATAGCCGATTCTTTGGTCAAGTTGACGAAATATTAAAGAAATTTCTTACACCTATTATGCTTGGTAAATAAAGAAATCAAATGAATAAAAGTTTATATTATGATGTTATACAAATTCATAAATAGCATAAGATACTTGAGGTAAAGATATAATTCTATTTTTGATTTTATTATAGTCAATTATTAACTTGATTAAATACATTCTTTTTTTAGACTGATATAAATAAAGCTCTGCATAAGCTGAGCTGGCTCGCGAGCCTCACAAGCTGGCTCACAAAAGCTCGGTTCGAGCTGCTATAAAACAGCTCGTGAGCTGATCAAGCCAGCTAATACCATGACTCAGCTCATAGTGCGGCTCGGCTCGTCGGCTTGGATTTTTTATTTTTGAAAAAAACAATCCAGGAGTATTAACTTTGAAAAAAAACGCTTTCAGCAATGATTTCTTCGAAGTTAATGATTCCAGAAATGATTCTTCGAAGTTAAACAATTCTAGCAATGATTTCTTCGAAAAAAAATGATTCGGTAACATTTTCTTTGAAGAATAACGCTTCGGGAGCATTATTTTTAATTTATAACGCTTCGGGAGCATTATTTTTAATTAATAACGCTTTCAGAGCATTAAATTTAAAAAAAATAACGCTTCCAGAGCGTTACATTTAATAAAAACGCTTCCAGAGCATTATTTTTAAATTATAATGCTTCTGGAGCATTTCTTTTAAATAATAACGCTTTCAGAGCATTATTTTTAATTAATAACGCTTCCAGAGTGTTTCTTTAAATAAAAATGCTTCCGAAGCGTTAAATTTAAAAAAATAACGCTTCTGGAGCGTTAAATTTAAAAAAATAACGCTTCTGGAATGTTACATTTAATAAACGCTTCTGGAGCGTTATTTTTGAAGGAATAGCCTCTGTGGCTTTTCCATTGAAAAGAAACATTTCCGGAGGCGTTTCCTTGAAGGACATCATTCCCGGAGGCGTTTCCTTGAAGGTATTGCTTCTGTGGCTTTTCCTTTAATGTGAATCATTCCCGAAGGCGTTTCCTTGAAGGAAATTGTTGCTGGAGTTGTTTTTTTGAAAAATTACTTCTGTGGCTTTTCTTAAAAGGGAAAGCCTTTGTGGCTTTCTCTTTAAAGGAAAGCACTCAATTTTTTAATAAAAGAGCTCTTTCCAACATCATATTTGTAGAATTTCAACGGGTTTTAATATCAATAATTAATTCTAATTTTTGAAGATTTAATGCTGTACATTGTTGATAAAATCTTTCACGTCGTTGAGGTGAAGCACAGATTTTTACTACTAATTTTCTAAGCTTAATTTTTATAATAAAAATAAATATTAAATTAATTATAAATTATTTTTGTTTGTTAAATAATAAAATATAACTTACTTTATATATAATAT